TTATTGAGTACATATTGTGCATGGAACTCTCTATATGGGAAGACTTCCAAATTTTTATCTCCAACGTGGACTGCTGTCCTAAGTCCAGATTTCTGTCTCCATGTCCCATTCAACTTGAATGTCTAATGGATTTGTCACAAACTGACCCTTTGACCTTTCCTCCCAGATTTGTTCCCTCCATGGCCTTCTCCATCTCACTTAGAGTCAAATTTCCCCTGTAAGTGTTCAGGAAAAGAAATCAGGAGAGCCATTCTTGGCAGCTCTCTTTCTTTCACCCCCAGATTTCATCTGTCGCAGTCCTATTGGCTCAAAGTAGAACATGAAACCCTGGATGCGATTCTAGAATAGAAAAGGGAATTTAGGGGAGCACTCATAAAATCTGAATAAAGTATGGAGTTTAGTTAATAATAACATATTTGAATCTGTTCATTCACTGTGGGAAGTGTACAGACCCCGTGAAGAGGTGAAAAAAGGGGAAATTGGGCCCGGGGCCTGGAGGAAGGCTTATGCTACCGTCACATGGGCTACTCGGGCTCTTTTTTGCCTCCTGCCTCCAGCTTCCACAGCCACTGCTTGTGGCCTTGCTTTCCCCCCAGTTGCAATACCCACACATGTACCATGTTAATGCAAAAAGTGCTTGGGAGCCCAAGCATGGGGCCTGTGTATGGATACCTGGGCTGAGGAGCAGGGAGTAAAGGGGAGACTAGGACATTTGGGTGCCTGTGGGGATAGGGCCTTGGTTGCTACCTGCCTGCTGGTCTGCCTGTGAGTCTGTTCCCCTGATTTTTTTTTAAAAAAGATTTATTTATTTATGCACACAAGAACTGGGGTACAGGCCAGAGAGGCCAGGGGTGAGAGGATTCACCAGAGACAGAGCGGGGAGCAGAACAGGCAGACGACCGAAATACACTGCTGAGGGAAGCAGAGGGGAGACAGGAGAGGTCTGCTGTGCCATGTAGGTCACCTCCCTGGCAGGGGATCATACTTGTACTGTAGTGGCTGTGGATTGCTTCATAGTGTTGAGACTTGTGCCACCAGGAAGGACCTGGTGCCCTGGTTTGACAGGGTTAAAGGCCTGTCAAATATACTGAAGACTCCAAAATTCTCTTTTCATCTGCCTGAATCAACAGTGTCCCTGCCCAGTCTGCTATGGTTGCAAAACAGCTACTTTTTCAATGTTCACCTTTTCGGTGGTGCTAAAACTATTCTAAAATAATGTATTTATTATTAAAAAGAAAAAAGAAGCAGCAGCAGCAGCAAAGGAGCAGAGCCCACTGGCTTCTGGCTCATTGGAGCCAGAAGTGGTGAGTTCGCTGGAGCTGAGGGGATGAAAAGTTCGATTCTGTGGTTTGGATGGTCTGGGTAGATAGAGGCTGTGGTTCAGTCAGTAGAAGGTCACACCGTTGTTTCCAAAGTGGAAGCTGGGTAAACCAAGGGGACTGGGAATTGACATTTCAATCATTCTGAGCCCGGGGGCATTTGTCAGCTTATCAGTATTTTTCCAACACTTAGTTCTGCTAAGAAAAGCTGGTGACCTCAAGTCAGTTCAGTCTTTCCCTAACAATTTTGTTGAATCATTGATTTTTGTTTTGGGGCTGCCCTGGTGGCACGTGGGTTAAGTTGCAGCACTATGAAGCTGTCCGCAGCCACTGCAGCACGAGTTCTATCCCCAGCCAGGGAGGAACCCACTTGGCCTGGCAGACCTCTCCTGTCTCTGCTGCTCCCCTCAGCAGTGTGTTTCAGTCAGTCTGCCTGTTCTTTTCCCCGCTCTGTCTCTGGTGAATCCTCTCACCCTCCACACCTCTGTCCTGTACCCCAGCTCTTGTATGCATAAATAAATAAATCTTTAAAAAACAAGACAAAACAAAAAAAACACATACATAGTTTTGTTTACTCTTTCTGAAGAACAAAAGTCTCTAATCCTAGAAAAAAATCCCAAATTCTACTTTTTAAAGATATTGTTATAATTCCCTATATGCTATTTAAAATAGAAATATGTGTTTTTATTTTACACAGAATGCATTGAAATGCATTGAAATGCATTAAAAATAAAAACTAATTTTTTTTGGGGGGGAAAATCGGAGGGTGATAGAGGCTGGTGTGGGAGCGGAGGCGGAGGGATCAACAACTGCTCTAAAGAGCTGAAAGTTTTGTTTGGACCTTAAAGACGTATGGCTTGTCTACACTACCAGTTCTATTTTCTAAGCAATGAAGGTTTTACGCTGCTTGAATATATTAGAATTGTAACAGGGTGGTCCCCAGAAAAGGGGAGTTTCCGGGTCCTCTGCCCCACCAAAAGAGGGTGTTGCTGAGCAGGGAGAGAAGAAGCTGGAGAGGAGACTGAGGAAGGAAGGAAGCAGGATGGAGCCAGAAGGAGACCTGGAGGAGGCACATGGAGTTGAGATACATGTGAAGAAACTGCACTTGCTTCTCGGTCTTGGACTGGTTGGAAAAGATGTGGGTGAGAGATGTGGGTGAGAGATATGTGGGTGGGGAGGTTAACAATGGCAGCTTTTATCTTGGTTTTGATTTTGCTCTTTTCCTTCCAGACTTGTCAGTTTCTAGCCCTTTTCTATGGGTCCCCACCCATAGGTACCTTAGACTTGAGGCAGGCCATTGGGCCTCAGTGGCCCTGCTTTGGGCCAACCCTGTTTGGCTGGGCATTTACCCACGAGGGGATGGATAACTTTGGGTGCTTGATTTGGAAACTGTATTTGTCCTCTTTTCTCCATTGCACACTAATTGTATTAAAGTTCCTTCCCATTGACGATCTCATGTGCTAGAATATGTTTTGTCTTGACATGGCAGATGGTAGAACCTATTTAGACTGGGCAGTTTTCGAGTTATAGGGTGCACCTCTCCCTGCCCTGTAACAGATTCAGGCAGGATTTTTGCTTGTGGGACTTTCTTTTCTTGGCCTGGGAGAGGCACAGAATCACCTATAAGGAGAGTTTATGAAAATCCATTCCCATGTTTTGTTCCTCCTTGATACTGTGCCTTTGACCTTCTCTAGAACTACAAACAGTTGGAGATATTACAAGTAATTTTAAAGATCAAGACCATTAAACTGGCTGAAAGTTTTCAGAAGTTCTTTCATTCTAGTTGGAAATGTTCAAAGTCAAGGTAACATGAGGTTCCTCCTCCACCACCCCAATGAACACTTGGTTCAGCTTGACACAGGAGAGGGCAGGAGGGCTGAGCATATGATCACCCCAGTCAAAGGCAGCTTTGTAATTCAAAGATCTTGCTGCAGGCATGAGAGGAAAAGGTCGAGGTGATATTTTATCCACTGGTCCCAGCCGGTCCTCTCCTTACCTGACCTCTGAAATGGATCCACTGGCTTAAAAAGCTCGGTGTCTAAAATTAAAAGTCTTCCCCATCTGGCTGAGAAGGCGACAGCTGAGCAACATGAGACAAGGACCATATTAGTTTAAATAGGGGCTCAGAGAGCCATTTGAGAGAGAGGCTGCTTCCTTTCTTAGGGGACACTTGTCTTTCCAGAAGTCTGATACTGACCAGGAGGCAAGACTTTCACCAGACAACTGTGAGGCTGGATTCTGTAATACTTCCCTTTATCTGCTGGAATTTATACCCGCCACCGGGAGGGTCCAAATGAGGATGTCCTCTTATAACCGGTAATTACTCTTTCAAAAAAAATTGTGAGCTCTCAAAATCTCCTTCTCTCTCTCTCTAGATTGCCTTATGACAGGTTACAGCAAACTCCAGGTAGAGCTTAGCATTTAATATTTCCTTAAAAAATTATTGCATCTTGACTTGAGCTTTTGTTTGAATTTGTTCATTGTTATGTTTCTCCCTGATCCTTCTGAGTACCATCTATGGTATCGGCATCATAGTATATTTCAGTTGTCCTTTGCCTTAAAAGTAGACAACCGTCAGCCTCCTTTCTGGTATTAATGATTCCCCCCTCCACCCCGGGCAATTGGAAATAACCCTCTAGTAATATTCCAGAATCTGTCCTACAGAGCTGAGGTTCAAAATGTTTGCATTTCCATGTTTGTGGATGTCAGCACTTTAAGGGGTGAAGCAGAATGTTGACCAGCATTGGATTTTAAATAATTGGGAACTCAAGGGTATCCCTTTACTGAGTGAGCTCAGAAAATGAAAGATAAAGCTTGGTGGAAATGATTGCAGACAATTTTCAATTGAGAAACAGCTGAAAGAAGCCATTTTCAGAAAATCCCTGGCAGGAGGCCTGAAGCATTGGCCATGAGAAGCTGCCCCAGGTTCCATTACTTTCTCTCTCTGCCAACCCCCAGCCCCCAGCCCATCACTAAGTGATATCTAGATATGAATGTGGGGGGGCTTTCTAGTATGATCCAGGAGGGTTATGTGTCTTAATTTGTCAGGAAAGTATTTCAAGGAAAGCACAAAGATTTGAACACCTTGGTAGTTAGCCACGGCAAAGATGCAAACAAGGGTATCTTCTCCACAGGACTTTGTAAGATGTAAACAGCTCTCCTTGGTGGAGACCACCACCCCTGCAGAAGGGGGCAAAGTTGCCAGATCAGAGAATTCCAAATACAGGTAGCCCTTCCCACACAGGGAGCACAGAAGCAGGAATTCCACCTGAACCCAAAGGAGCTCCATACTCTATATTTAACCCAGCCACTTGATATGCATCTTACTTATGTAAAGAGGGAGATATTTCATCACCCAGTGAAACTTCAGGTTGCTTCTCAGAGTTTTCTTTGGTAGAAAAAAGTGGGGAATAAAAACTCTTTTTATTCAGAGCCCTTTCCACAACCCACTGTGTGAAGCTTGCCCTTCACGCCAGCATTTCTCTCCCATTGAAAAAGAGACTTCAGGGGTCTCCCCATCAATTTCCTGAATGTCAAGTACGGGAGGAGGTACTGAGAACTTTCTGTGTCTCCTTTCCTTACAGTCAAGAGGCGGGGGCCATTAAAAGTCACGGCTGTGTCTTGATTTACCAGTCGGAGACGGAGGGCGATGCCAAGCACCCAGCCGGCAGTGGCTTCATGGGACTCAGCACCAAGATGTTCCAGGTGAAGAGACTGGAAGAGATCAGCGCGTGTTTCCACGGTGACCAGCTGGAGAAAATGGCCTTTGTGCAGTGCATGGGAAAGGTGGAGGGCGTGAAATGCTTTCTGGAGGAGGGTCCTAGTGACCAAGACTCCAGATCTGGAAAGAACGAGGTAAGCGTGTGCTGATTCACTCTCCCTAAACAGATCAGCGTGGTCTTCTGTTTCTCCATTGAAATCAGTCCAGATCCTTTGCAAATCCCAGTTTGTCTCTTGTGTTTGGAAGGAAGGGCCGTTTAGGAACGGGCTTGCTGCAGACCCCGCCGTAAACTGTCTAGCCGGGTCTGGTAAGTGCACTGTGCTCACTTGTCCTCCATGCAGGTGCTTGGAAACAGTGGCTTTAAGTCTAACAAATCGGTGCTGCAAAACGTTTTTCGTGCAGGGTTGACTGTTTTCTCATGGACGTTTTAACGAAATGACATTGTATCTGCTGTAACGAGGAGGCCTTGGAATAGCATGTCCACTGCAGGTGGTGCCACAGAGTAGTTAGGGCAGAAACATTCATTTCTTTAAAAAAAATTAATTTATTTTCTTACATCGTTGTTCATTTTTGTATAGTATTTGATGCCACGTCTCACGTGTGATCCCTGTGATTCTCTCACCACCATAGCAACCGTGATCCATCACCATTGGCCCATGCACTCATCCCCTGTTTTGAAACCCCCGCGTTGCCCTCCTCTGTTGATGCCTCAGATCTATCTATGGTCAACTTGCAAGTTTTGTCTTTTTCCTGTTCCTTTGTACGGTTTCTCTATATTCCATCTAGAAATGAGACCATTGGCTATTTATCTTTTCCCTTCTGACTTATTTTGCTTACCATCTTCCCCTCCAGCTCCAACCATGTTGTGGCAAATGGCACAGTATATTCTCTTTGACTGCTGAGTAGTATTCCATTGTGTCTACATACCACATCCTCTTGATCCACTCATCAGTTTGGGGCACGTAGGTTGTTTCCATATCTTGGCTATTGTAAACAGTGCTGCTCTGAATGCCGGGATGCAGGTTTCCTTTCAGATTAGTGTTTTCGTGCCTTCTGGGTAGATTCCTAGGAGTGGGATCACTGGGTCATATGACGGATCCATTTCTAGTCGTTTTTTTTTTTTTAAAATTTATTTATTTATATAAGAACCAGGGTATAGGCCAGATGTGCGGGAGGGTGAGAGGATTCACCAGAGACAGAGTAGGGAGCAGAACAGGCAGACTGACGAAATACACTGCTGAGGGGAGCAGCAAGTGAGACAGGAGAGGTCTGCTGCGCCATGTGGGACCCTCGCTGGCTGGCCGGGATCGAACTGCCGCTGCAAAGGCTGCGGGCAGCTTCACAGTGCTGTGCTCAACTGCCTGCGCCACGGAGGGAGGCCGCATTTTAATTCTTTTGAGGACCCCCCACACAGCTTTCCATAATGTGGGACTACATCAAACATCTTAAGCAGATGGTATAGAAGGACGGGTTTGCAATCTGGAGAAACCCTGTGGGGGCACGATTGCTTGGAAGCAGAAGCTGCTGACCCTGAACTCCCTCTGGGGTGGGTGGCTGAGCTGTTTAAGGTGTGGGTCAGGGACGTGGACTAGCAAACCTTATCTGATAGCCCCCCAGTGTCCTCACATCTGCAATATGGGGGCCTAAGCCCAACGTGGGGGCTTGATCTTTGACAAGTCACTAAATTTAACCAAGAGATTGCCTCATGTGAGAGGTGGGATGATAGCCACTGTGAAAATTTAGAGTGGTAACCACAGGAAAGTACCTGCCACCTCAGGGGGCACCCATTAGATGTCAGCCCCCTTAACCCCTGTGCCCAGCATGAACCCCTGTGGGGCTCTGTGGGGGTCTCACAACATTACCCACGCCTTCATTCTAGCACATACGACTGTTTCAAACATGCTGGTCATCTTGCTCTCGACAGTGCCCCATGAGGTCAGGACATGGTGCCACCCATCCTTGGTGTCTCAGTGTCTTTCCCAGTAATGGAGACATAACAGACACCCAGAACCATTGGGAGGCAATTCTCCATTCTGGTTCAGGGCTGGGATCTTTATTTTTAACCATCAGACCCAGTGGTTCTTATCAGGTTGTTTGGGAAACACCCTTCCTGTCCAGCTACTGGTCTGCTCAGGTAGGAAGGGCATTTTCAGGGATGCAACAGACGGTGGGGAGAGGAGGAAAGGAATAAACTGCAGCAGAGGCTTTTCATTGCACGTGGCTAAGAAGTGATAGAATGTCCTGGAGGGGAGACATGCAGCTGAGGCTTGTTGGAGACCCGCATTTTCCTTATGAGTCCCATCTTGTCCAGTATAGACCAAGAAGAAATTTCCACAGGCCAACTGAAGTCAGACAGGCAGGACTGCCAAATTAGGCTGTTTATCACACCCACAAACACACATAAGGGCTTCTTTTTCTGTTCATTAACCTTTATGGGACAGAGTAGACACAGCGGTCTTCTTGGGTAACATGGAAACGGCCAACTGTCTGTAATAACTTACATGGATTTGATTGTTTTCCACGACTGTTTTCCCTCCAGTAGGATATGACTTTTATAAGTAGACAATCTCTTTAAAGAGGGGGATGGTGCTAAGCCGAATGTAAGTCTTTTATTTTGTTTTTAAAGATTTATTTATTTATGCAAACAAAAACTCGGGTGCAGGCCAGAGGTGCAGGGGGTGAGAAGAGTCACTAGAGACAGAGTGGGGAACAGAACAGGCAGACTGACTGAAATACACTGCTGAGGGGAGCAGCGGGCAAGACAGGAGAGGTCTGCTGCGCCATGTGGGTAGCTCCCTGGCTGGGGATAGAACTCGTGCTGCAGAGGCTGCAGATAGTTTCACAGTGCTGTGCTTAATCCCTTGCACCACCAGGGAGGCCCCAGAACATAAGTCTTTTAAGGAAGCATCGCTCTTGTGATAGCTGGTGGTCGGCAACGTCAGTGATTGAATGATTTGGAGGGTGAGTATCTGGGGATGTCTGGGAGGGAAGACTGAGAACACCGCTCCTCAGTAACCCTAAAGGAACAGCCTTGGTGACTAGTCTGCCCTCCCCCGTGATGTGGGTCTCTGCAGCTGCTGTGTGTGGGCAGAGAGGAGGCCAGCAGCCTTGTGCTCCATTCACATTCTTTGCAAATGGCCAAGGGCCCAGGGATGTCAGTGATACACATCCCTGTCCCTCTGTTGCCTGGTGGGGAAAGGATGGACACGCACGAATCTGAGATACAGATACGGGCCTGCCTGTCACTGCCAAGACCATGGGGCTGGACGCCCTTGCTCGCCCCTTCAGCAGATGCCAGGGCCGCCAGCGGCTTGGCAGTGGGCACGTGCCAGGGGCCTTCCAGAAGCTCAGCTCTCTCAGGTGTGCAGAGAACTGGAAGACACCACTCCTTTCCCCTGGGCACACCGGGAACCTCTAGGGGACCACTCCCTACACTTCAGGGATTTTTTTTTTTTTTTAAAAAAGCTTGCCATAAATTTCTTTGTGTACTCTTCTCTATATCCCTTCTCTCTTCGAGAGGATTAGCACAGCCGATCATATGCCCGGAAAGGAACTTACCCTGAATTTCAGATACTCTGATGATATTGAAGCTCTGTTTTGAAGACTTGATGTGCAATTTATTTCTCTTAGATTCATGACTCTCCGGTTCCGACAGGGAACCTTACCTATGCGTTTAACAAGTTGGATTGATTAACATTCGGTAAGGCTCAGATTCTTTTTCTTTCCATGTCCATAACTGGGTGTTTCATTTCACGTATTTTTTCCTCCAGTAAATTTATTCTTAACTGTCTTCTATTTAAAAAAAATATTGAATTTATTTAACTGTCACATAGTCTACTTTTTTCCTTTGAACTTAATGTCGTTTTTGGTTTTACTTATTTTGCCGCCCCCACCCTCTTATCCTCAGTGCCCTCAGGATGTGTATTTATATCACTTTTTTTTAAGTATTTTATATTATTGAATAATCTGCTCTGTGCATGCCCAGTATTTGTTATCATTCTGACTTGCTTTACTACCTGTAATTCTTTCAAACTCCTGTGATTTTGTTGAAAATGACTCCATTTCACCCTTTTTTTATGACTGAATGGTATTCCACAGTGTGGCCAGACCACATCTTCTTGATCCAATTTTCAATTGATGGACATTTAGACTGTTTCCATGTCCAAGTTATTGCAAATAATGCTGCTACGAGCATTGGAGAACATGGATTTTGTGCGGTTGGTTCAGATTCTTTGGCTAGATGCCCATGAGGGGGATTGCCAGGTCATATGGTATTTCCATTTTTAGTTTTTTAAGATAAATCCAGATTGCTTTTCATATGGTTCCACCTGTACACACTGTCTCGTTCATTCAGTTCTACTTTTCCTTTTATTCTGTTTCCAAAGGTCTTTTCTCATTCTATTATGTCCAGAGGATGTTTAAACCACCAAAAGAGTATAGAATTTCAAAAGCTTTTAGCAAATGCTCCATAATAAGCTAGGTCTAAACCCACAGAGCATGGTGTTGACATCAAGTAAAGCTAAGAAATCAATCTGATATGTGAATGATGTAGCTTGAGAGCCACTGTGTACGCACCATTAAGCCACGAATGACAAATAACTCTCAAAACTAGGATCACAATTACTTCTATACAATCAAATCCAGGTTTTCTCCCTTTGCTCATTCTTTATTACTTACTTCAATTGCTCCTGTGCTGCATTTCCTTCAGCTCTAACACATACACACACACACACACACACACACACAAAGACGAACACACACAGACACACACACACTATGCTTAATGAAGACAAAGGATCCAGATGATGCTTCCAGACAACCAGAGGTGTCCCAGTCTCTCATTTGGCTCTTTCTGCCCCCTCCATACTCTGTGTGTATAATTTGTATTACATATATCCTTGATTTTTTACCTAAGATTACCTGTGCTCACCTAAGGATACCTACCTTATACCTAAGATTACCTGTCCTTGGCTCTGCCTCACTTTCCTGTGCACCCCTGGTCACCAAGTCTCCACCCACAGGCATGGTTCAGCCAGGGGGCATCAGGCAAAGCTGAGGGGGCCATGATGATAAGAACCACCGCACAGGGTTGGGGTTCACAGCTCCTGCAGTGTTTTAACTCCTGGCACAGAGG